TCTACATCTCTTTTTTTAGTTTAATTTTAACGAGCCGAACACGAACACGAACACATTATTCACGAGTCATTTTCGAATACGAGCCTATTTCGAACACGAACAATTTCGAACGAACTGGACACGAGCCAAGCCTGAGCTCACTCAAGCTCGACTCGTTTAAACCCTATTGTTTGGTGACTCCCATAGCCACTATTTTGCTGAGAAATTTAGGCAAAATCACATAACTTGAAAGTTATAGCCAATGTTTTAATTATGTTGAAAAACTATATTATCTTTGCTGTTGAAGATTGGTTTCATGACAATCCAATCTGAGTTGGGGCCAATTTAAGATTTTGATCAAGATTTTTTTAGTTATGGGAATCATTAGAATCGTCTGTTTTGGATATAGAAACTTCGGCAACTAAGCATACGGGCATTCAAACTACCATGCAATTTCTTCAAAATATAGCCAACTCAAATTTCCAAAATTACATTATCAAATTATACATTTTCCCCTCTTTCCTCAATTTTATTTCCAATATTATCGAAGCCTATTATTCTCTGATCATTGAAAATCAAATCTCTCTATTCCCATCATGTAGCTTTTCGCTGTCTCCTAAGCCTTCATATACTCTTTCCTAAACATAATAACTTGTCAGGAAACCCATCTCCATTAAGAGTAGTTATTTCCCATTTAAGTTTTATGAATTCTTCCAATGAAGCTATTGAGAATACATATTGCTGAAATTATCGGCCGCTTCACTCTGTAGGTATCCTCACCTCTTCAAACAAAAGCGTGCTTCCTAGTTCACTGCTGCAAAATGCGAGCTTCTGTTCCTATCGAAAATGCTGAAATCAGTCCCCCATCCACTTTATTTAAATATGGTTTTTAACTGAAAACTGGAACCATTTTTTATCAGGTTAATTGCGGTTGATAGCAAGCATAGCTCAAGTTCAATCCTATTCTATCACCCTCTTATCATTTCTCCTATTCAGTGCATATAAACTTGCTTCTATTCCAATGCAATCCATACATTTTCCTCTTCCCTTGCCACCTATGATGGCTCTTCTTCCACGTCACATTAGGTTTCACGAGTTCAAAATTCTATGTATTATATTTTAGATTCAAGCATCTTTTAAGACTGGTTGGTCTCATTGAGGATGTTGAGGGTGTTGAGACGAAGAAGACTATGACTAATGAAATCCGTAAGGCGAAGTTACATTTTTCATCCCCATTATGTGGTTTTAATCCAGTGAGCTTCCTTTGGTGGTGATTATTGATTCAAGTATGATGCATCCGGAGGTATGATTTGATTTTATTTTGCCACCATCGCTGCCACATTCTGAATCTGTCAATTTAATTTTATCACCACTTGGACTTATTTCCCATTATATATTCGTCATCGGTTGATCTTCCTTCGAAGGTGATTTTTATTTAATTCTGATGCCACTACATCCAGCCATACATTGACTTAATTATGCCAGCATCACCTTTTTTGTAAAGCTTGCTGAGATATGGAAGCATGATACATAGCAGCATCCAATGTGCAATCTTTCTTATAAATTTTTGTGTATAATTAGTTTTGAAACTTCTTGGGTTGGATTTTTCTCAGCTTGAAAGAACTGATGGTATGGCTCTTTTCCTTCCTGATCCATAAGAGAGACGCAATTTATTTCATTTCATATTTAATTAATTTTTTTATTTTCATGCTATTTATTATTTTATGCTTTTGGATATTATGAATATATATATATATTTTTTCTGTATATTTATTTTAGTATGTTGGTTGAAATATTCCATGTTTGTATATGGGTTTTAGTATGCTATAGCTATAGTTATGATTGATCTTAGGGGCATTTACATACATACCGCGCAATTCCTATGTATTTACATATCTAACAGCTAAAGTTTGCTATTTACATTTATAACTCTTTGGTGTGTCATAAATCTACGCATAAAAATGTGTATTTCACATTTAACAAGTTAGTAATTGTGGTATTCTTTTGATGTGTTATTAAAGATTTTAGTGGAATGCATGTAAATATCAAAGTTGTGTATCAGGTCAATATCTCTTTTTTTTTAATGCATTTTCTGCTTTAATTAATATAAAATGAGCATTAATTTATATATGATTTATATATTAAAGAACTTAGTTTTATAGTTCTTATCCCTTTCCAGACAAATTTAGATTGTGATGTATGCCATTGATATAACTGAATTTTAGTGATGAAATTTTTTTATTTTGCAGGAGGAGAAAAAAAGGTATGAAGAGAAGTTCAGGCAGGGCTACTAAGCTCTCATTCGCCCGCCCGCCCGCCCCCATGGAAAGTTTGTGCTGACTTTTGGTGGCCTTGTTGAACATTTCATGATATAATTTAGTAATTTAGACTTGTAAACTGTGCTCAAAATTGATAATCCTTGATTTTAAACTGCTCAAGAGATTCTGCATGTCTGTAATTTTTATTGCAATTCTTATTCTAACCTTTCACAGTTTTGGTGGTATTCCTCAGAATATAATAGGAAATATGAAGTAAGGTGAAGTGCTGCGTTTATTTTCAGTAATAAAGAATGTTAGGGTCTTAATGATTTAATTCAACAGAAGCTGTCTGCCTATATCATACTCTGCACATCAATATGCTTAGTAGTGACTAGAAGATGTTAATCATAAGCAGAAAAAAAGTGAAAATGTGAGTAGCAAAGTGTGAAAATGACTCGATAGTAATGCGGGAAGGAGAACAATTATAGCAATTACTAGAGAGAAAGAGAGAGCGTACATAATGAGAGGATTAGGTGCAAAAAAGAGGGGAAATAATTGAAGGAGATTGGATGCAATTGAGAGTATATAAGCTAAGGAGGTGTTTGAGATCTTTTTTTTTTTTTGTTTTCTTTTATTATTATTATTTTGTGAAATAAGACAAGTTTGATATGATGGATTAAGATATAAATATTTTTAGAAGAGTGAAAACACTTTTAAAATTATTTTTGAGCATTTTTAAAGATAAAATAAATTTATTTTTAAGATAAACATGATAACGGTAAAAAAAAATAATAATAATAATAATAAAAGAGCTCACAAACAAGTTTGATATGTCATCAACAAATTTATTTTATTTTTAAGATAAACATGATAACGGTAAAAAAATAATAATAATAATAAAAGAGCTCACAAAAAAGTTTGATATGTCATCAACAAATTTATTCATTTAGTGTGAAGCTCGAGGCAATATGTAGGAATCTTGGGTTTTTTTAACAAGAAATATATCAAACCCAAATTAAAATCATGTAAAAGTTTTGATTTCAGTAAACTTACAATCAAACTGATCGACTCAATGAGATTGATTCAATGACACCAAAATTGACTCAATTTGAGTAAAATCAAGCCAATTAAATCTTTTTTGAAAGCTTATGTCGTTAATTGGAAGGTCAAATTGATTCTAAATCAGACAAGTTCGTAATAAAATTGGGTGACTCGGTGAGATGAATTCAGCTAACCTAAGATCACTCAATACCAACATCATGAAGATGCTTAAATATCCATAAAATTTTGCCCAATCGTGAGAAATTCTATGGGGCGTTCGATGGAATGACTTGAATTCCTTCCTTATTTGTAGGGGAGACACTCCAATACTTTGTAAATAAAATCATATTATCTTCATGAAAGGAAACTTAAAACCTTGAATTGCCTGGAGCTGACTCGAGAAGGAGTTGAATTCTAATGTCGTTCCACACTAAAAACCCGACGACCACTTCCTGATCTTGTAGTTGCTGACCACTGTCAGCCTCCCCCTGCTTGTTGCAATGAAACACCTCACAGAGTCACAACATACGTTGTAGTGTGACGAAGCACCGACTTTGCAAAGTGACGAAGCACCGTGCAGGCAAATACCGACGTCGCAGAATAATGAAGCATCATGCTGAGTAAAGACCAAAACCGGGGAGTAACGAGGGATCCTAAAGAGCAGTGCATCATCCTAAAGATCGTGCAATGATACACCTCGAAGAGGGTGCATTGAAAAACCGTCAACTACTCTACCACATTTGCTCCCCAAAGTTGTACAATCCTTTTTTCTTGCATATAATCATCGTACTTCGAGGAACTATGTGATCATTTACCGTCTGTTGGAGAAGGGCATGTATGTGTACTGATCAACATATAATAGATCATTCTGACTTGGCTAAGTCCCATTGTTTTTCACTTATCTGGTTTTCCGCATAAAAAAAATTATGGGTTATCTACCTATCACGTCGATTACCTGTGTTTGTAATGAACTTTTACGCAACATTAAGACGCTAAATAATCACTTTGGCTCGAGGGCCTGAAAAGACATAAATCATAATTAAATATGTTTTAAATCAGGCTTCATCGTGAGTGCAACCGGAAGACTAACCCTATCATTTTTACATTTTATTTTTTATTTTTTATTCTTAAAAAAGTATTTATTTAATACATTTTAACACGTTTCTATTTTATTTAAAAATTTATTTATTTTATTATAAAAAATAAATCATTTAAAAATTATTATTTAATATTTTTAAAGCTAACTAAACATATTATTTATTATAAAAAATAAATCATTTAAAAATTATTATCTAATATTTGAGCTTGATAATATTTAAAATATTAAATTTATGGCGCGCGCAAAGAATTAAACCTCCGGCTCGGACCCGCCACTGAGAACGAGGATAGGAGAGTTGCCAATCGTTTTCTCGCATTCCTTCTCTCTTTCTTTCTAGGTCTGCTTTCTTCTTTCTTCTTCTTCTTCTTTCCGTTCATTCACATTCGCTTTCTTGTGCTTTCAATCATTGCATGATTTTTGGCGTTTTCTCGAGTGTTCTTTCTGCTGTTGGTAAATTTAAAAAAGGAATTTCGGTTCTTGTGTTTATGGGATTTAATTTGAAATTTAGATTTGAATTAAAACAAGGAAGCTCGGTTTTTGTGTAAACAAAATCAATTTGATCGGAGACGGGGAGTTTTGATCAGCGAGGGTTTTGTATAAACAGTTTCTTGCCCTTCGTTTTTCTGTTGATTTTGATCTTGATATTCGATACGCGAGATGGCGAAGAGAGATTCAAGTTTCTTGGTATTTCTGAAAATATGAATCGAATTTCGATGTAGAATGATTTATGAATGGCGATTCTTGTTTTCCACCGGCATTCGCCGATTCTTGTTATATTTTCGTTATTCTTCTGTCTTCAATTTTGATCTATGACGACTTCTGGTATTTCAGCAAATGCCCTCCTTATGTTTCTTTTGATTTGATCGATGGGAGAGGAGGAGTTTGACTGCGTGTTTTGTTAGGTTTGTTGATTTGTAAATTTGGCTTCATGTTGACGAAATATCTGTGAAATTAATATCGGCAATCTTCTTTTATCAAGTAGAAGAAGCTATGATACTATGATTTTTAAAGTAAAACATGTTTTTATTTTTTATATTTGGTAATTGAATTTTCTTTTTGCGACGCAATGGTGAACAGATAAACGTTGGAAATCTCATAGATCTATGGAACCATATGGCAATGATTTGCAAAATCATATCCGAGAATCTGACAGCAGAGCATTCAAAGGGAAGTGTGTTGCTGAGGATCTGAGTTACTTAGACAGAAGAGAAGCAGCTGCTCAACCACTAAATCTTCAGACTGAAGCTCATATCTCATCTCGATGTGGCTATAATCTAGAAATATATTGCCAAAGATGGGCCAACACTGTTGAAAATACTATTCTAGAGCCAAAAATAAGGTTTGCACATCCACTGCACCAGCTCCATTCATCCGTTTTTTATTTAGTAATCTGAACTTCTAAAAATTGTTCATTTTCTCTTCTTAACGCCAGGAAGAAAAATCCGACCTACTGTTTCCTTGAACCTTTATCAAATTTTCCTCAAGAGGACAGTGGGGAAATCATAAAAGATAGATGCAAGTGGAAGAAATACCAACAAGTTTCAACTGACGGGCCGTATTTTCCTAGGTACAGTAATCCTGAACAGTTAAGCTTCATAATTAGTTCTTTTACTTCTATTAAATTTCTGAATGTACAGTAATCCTGAACAGTTAAGCTTCATAATTAGCTCTTTAACTTCTATTAAATTTCTGAATGTTTTACTTGTTTCTATAAACCCGCCCCGCCCCCCCCCCAAAAGCACCTTAACTAATCTTTGCTCATTCTAATTCAAAAAAAAAAAAAGAATTTTGAACACTTGTGATTTCATACAGCACCCTAACTAATCTTTGCTCATTCTAATAAGTCCATTACTTTTCCGTTTAATCCAGAAATTCTCAAAGATTTTGTTGTAATTTTTGTTTAGCTTCTCCTACAAATGCACTTACCCCGGATGCACTATGAGGATGCATACTGAGAGGGTCTCTCTTCATCCAGACAAGATGATGGTATCTTATGAAGGAGTACATAACCATGGCGAAATTCAGGCTTCGACTGGGCAGCTCCCACCAGCTCAAATTTCTTCTTATAAGCCTTTCAACAGCAGAGATTTACAGCAATATCCCTGCATCTCAGTATCCGAGCATCGAAAACTTGCATCTCAGTATGATGTAATGCACAGATTACAGTCCCCTTCAGTTTACATCATGAAATTGGATCAATATATTGAGCACCTGAAGCCCAATTATGGCATATTTCTTAACCACCCAAGTAAAATCAAGTATGGTGTTCTGGATGATCGTGCTGCAGAGAGTACTGCTTCCATTTCTGGGATGAGTTCCTCTCAAGTTGGCTTTGGAGAATCTCATCAAGCGTTTTGTGCTGTGCACAATGTTTTCCATTCGCCTCTTTATTGTAATAGCATTCCAAATCCATATCATTCACAGCAACTGCAGCAAGTTTATACTGCAGAATATCATTCTGTTCCATTTCCTGATCTTTTTTTCAGTTCTGAACCTTCTGTTTCTTTGGGCATTCAATGTGCAAACACTGTCATGGCTGGAGGAGAAATTAACTTCCATTACAATCTGATGCAGAGAACCTTCAAACCTCTAACTTATGAAGACCCTTCATCCTCTTTGATGGCTGGTGGAGTGTATAGAAATACTGGAGTTATAAATGGTGCTGATGAATTGTGTTGGATCCACCCATCTTGTCCTCAACTTAATGGTAACTTGACTGAGAACTTCAACGCATAAAGCCTAAACCTGCACCGCTAAGTGAGACAGGTTTTCATTCATTCACAACATGCGACAACAACAAATCTGGGTGGCGGATTCTGATGAAATTGCTTGTGGATGATTTGCAGATTTAGGATAGAAATGGATTGGATCTCTCTTTGGAAGAGAAGGGAGGCGAAATCGGCATGGGGAAAATTTTAAAATGTGATCTAAGGGGAAACTAATGTTTTCAATTTTAGTTGTACCTTGAAATTAGACTTGATTCCAATTCTTTAGGCAAGATGAATTGCATTTTATGGTTAGAATCACATCTAATTCTTTTGCATTTGCTTATATATCCTAGTGCTTTATGGTAGTTTCTGATGTTTTGTTGGAAGAGGATATGTATAGAAAATACGACAACAACAACAAGCTTTTATCAAACAGCACATGCCTAGAAGCCGACACGAACAAGATTCAAAGAGACTCTGAGATTACTATTGTCTGGCCTCTTTCCCAAAGAGTTGGATGATGTTGGTAGCAACACAAAATTAAAAGCCATTATGTAAGGAATTTCTTAGGGATTGTTTGGTTGGAAGCAAAAGGAGCGCATTGCATTCCTTTAAAAGGGCTTCTAAAAATTCAAACATTTGATTGGAAGAAAAATAAATACAGTGTCAAATTCCAAAGTACTTAAAATTCACTCTGTAGTTCTTTTTCAATATGTTTAGAATTATTGGATTTGGGCAAATTCCAAATCTATTGTTTAGTTTAAAATGAAGTCAATTTCCACTGCCATCATTAAGTGCCGCAGCTTGCCTACTATCCTAGCAGCCGCCTGCCCGCCGCCATCTATTACCGACGTTGTTTGCCCGCTGTTGCTAGTCATCTTTTGCTGCTGTCGGCCACCGGCCAGCTTAACAGTGCCAAAACTAAATTTATCGTTAAAAAACATGCTCATATCGTGCCCGTACTTGAGGCGACTTGGTAGAGTCGATGATAGGATATTATATTGCTTAGTTGTTGTATTAGTTTAATAAGTATAATTAATTATTTAGTTAATAATATTTAGTAAATTTAAATTATAGTGGAACGCTATAAAGACTTAACCAACCTGATTGAATGATTCACATTGATTCCCCTTGATTATAGGAGTCCTTTTGATAATGTGATGGGCATAATGACGTTGGAATCAGGTGATCTTGGGCTTGTTAGATTTTTCTCATCAAGATGCTCCATTTTGACTATAAGTTGGATGCCTCTCGTCGAATACTCCATTTGACTATAGACATATCAAAATTTTCCCTCCAAATAACCAGTTGAAACATTCAAAAGCGGATTGACAGCTTGATCCGTGTTTGATTTGACTTGGATTGAATCAATTTTGGTATCACTGGCTTTGTCTTATCGGGCCAATCAGTTTAACTGTAAGATTGCTAAAATCAGAGCTCTGGATGATTTTTTGTTTGAATTTAAAAATGTCTTGAGATTCATACAAAATGCCTTGAGATTGGTGCAAGATGCCTCAAGATTTGTGCAAAATGATAAAATTTGTTGATGAAACATTAGCTACCCCATATTTTTTAAGCAATTTAATTTGAGTTTATCATCTAAAAATATAAAAAAAAATTATTATATTTATCGGCGGCAACCATGATTGTTGATAGGCGAAGGCATGTGCGGGAGATGCACGGGCGTGGGTCACTTAGGTTGGTCGGATCAACGGATTGAGGTGCGCTTTGGGTCGCATGCAAGTCAACTGTCTCACTGCAAATCACAGCAATTAAGAAGGTTACTGATAGGCCCGGTTAGGCTGAAAATGAGGAACACTATGGATGGTTATCTAGGCCATCAGGCTAAGTAAGGTCGGGAGCTCAGAGCGGATCAATGATGCGAAATGAGACTGATCGCGATCTAGGTTGTAGATCAGACTGCGTTTTACGTAATGCCCGGGTCGTGGTCCCATGCGTACAAGTCTGAACTGTGCTCACAGAAACATATGTGTGTGTGAAATATCTCAGAATGCGTCTAATAGTCACTAGATTACATGAAATTGGGATGCGCCCACAAGTTTAATGAGCTGAAACTGAAAATTAACTAATTTGGGGAGTTTTTTCACCATTTTGAGCCTATAAATAATCCAGAAAAGGAGGGAAGATGGAACACTTTCTCTTTGAAGTTCCTGGAGTCCCTTAGTTCGTCGTTGTGCATTGGAGTAGTCCAACCCTTAGAGTTCCTTTGGCCAGTTGTTGTGCCTCCTTCTACGCTAGTGTAACACAACCCCCGTAGATATTTTGACCAGTTATTGTGCCTCGTTTTACGTTGGTGTTGTGCAAACCTAGGAGTTCTTTTGGCTAGTTGTTGTGCCTCCTTCGCATTGGTGTAGTGCAATCCCCCAGAGTTCCTTTTATGCTATCATTGTACTTTTTGGAGGAGATTTTTTGCACTTTAAGATGTTAATGTCTAGGGAATTCTGTTCTCCAAAAAATCAGAGGATGCACTTGAATCCTGATGAGACAAAATCAACACTTACCAGAGTGAGCAAATTTTTTTCTGAAAAGCATGGAACACATAATTCAAATACTTCAAATATATTCTTGGTAAGTATAAACAGATGTATAATGCTAATGCAAAATAGATATTAATCTTGAGAGATCAACTAGTAGTGAAGATTTCTCTCTCTATAATGCCGAGAGCTGAAAAGTACTAGAGAAGAACTGATGGAGGCACAAGCTATTCTTAGTCAGAACTTTGTGATTGTGAGAGCTTTTTAAGCGAAGATGCATGCTCTTAAGGAGGGGAACAAAAAGTGGCGGACTCAGTGTGCAGGAATGACTTATGGAAATGGGTTCATTTGATACACTATTGGATAAAAGTTGACACTGGTGACCCACTTTCCAGCCAAGCATCTGAAGATCCTCTTTCTTACTTGGAAATGAAGAGAAACTGAAAGTGACTTACAAGAGTACATCCTTGAATATGGAGAAAAATTTTGATATAGATTAATACTTTTTGTTTGTATGCCTGTATTAGTGGCTTTTTTTTTTGCATATTGTGATAGTGTGTCAGCATTTGTTGCTCTTACTATGTTTATTATAATTTATTCACATGACTGTGTGTTAGTTTATGCACCTCTTTGTCTACTTGATGTAGTTTTTTACACCTTGTGATAATACATATCTTCGACTTCATATTACACTTGTTGAATGTCACTTCATTCTTTATATAGCAGTGCAATCTTGGATTGGAAAATTACAAGACGAGTTGAGAGTTACCACAATTTTTTGGAGTTACTCAAACAATATTTTCTTGTCTTAGTCATTGTTGCCCCATTTTCTTGGGTTGTTAATGCCTCCATGCATTAAGTTTTTTTTTTATTTGTTTTCACCTAAGTTGTTGTTGATTGATGTAAGAATATTTATTTCGTATAACTTGTCCCCAGGAGAAGACTTTAAGTTTTAACATGGATCTAATATATTCCAATTAAGATTTGCCCCTCAATAGGAGCATAATGACATCAAACTTTTCTGAGGTTTGTATCTCCAAGACTCTTTAGTATACTTGTACATTCTGAGACTTATAGCTTTCTAAGATTCTTTGAGTGAAGACCACTTCAACCACTTGTTCTCATGGAGTCCTTCTAGTGAGGACCTTGTTCACTATTAGATTCTCATCAAGACTACCTTATGGACACACCTTCATGGAGTATAAGCGAAGTCTATGTCTATCACTTACCCTCAAAGGGTTAGTAAGGACTATGTCCACTAATAGCTTCTCGTCGAGCTATCTCATGAGCATATCATTAAGTGTATAATTGGAGATTGTGTTCAACACTAAGAATGTTTGAAATTTTTAATAGCCTAATCAGAGCGTTCACTCAACAACTGTAGCATGTATATGGACAAAGTCGAAATAAAATCTATTAATGATGTAAGAGCCATCCTAAGTTGTTTAGTCGAAGATTCTTGATGATGTTAACCTATTATGGATAAATTCAAATGAAATCAACCAATTATGTAAGACATTTCCTAAGTTGTTTAGCCGAAGATAATTGAAAGGGCTACCTCTTATGGACAAAGTCAAATGAAATCCACCAAGGATGTAAGAACCGTCCTAGAATGTTTAGTCAGTGATTCTTGATGAATTAACCTATTATGCACAAAGTTAAATGAAGTTCATTGAGGGTGAAAGGCCCATCCTAAGTTGTTCAGTCAGAGATACTCAACGATGTTAACTTATTATAAACAAAGTCAAATGAAATTCACTAAGGTTATAGGCCGGTCCTAGGTTATTTAGCTGAAACTTCTGCTAGACCAGCGTAACATATAATAGAAGAGGCCGAAGGAAATCCACCAAGAATTTTTGGCCTATCCTGGCTTGTTTAGTCAGAACTCCTGCTTGAAGATTGTAGCCTTATTTGGAAGTAGCTCTGCCCTTAGAACAATTAAGTCCAAAATGAGGTGCTAGTGCTACTTTGTTTTTCTTAAGTATGAGGTGTAAGTCAAGATGGATTGTACTTTTTCTTGAAAAGATGAACGCATTCATACTCAAGAACGATATTTGTCAACTTTTCTATTGTTATTTTTGAATTTTTTGTCCCTAATGAGGGCATTGTCGACATGAACCTGTAAAATAGCTCATGTATCAAATATTACGGAGGTCAACTTCTTGATTAGGTTTTTCTATTGTTATTTTTGAATTTTTTGTCCCTAATAAGGGCATTGTCGACATGAACCTGTAAAATAGCCCATCTATCAAATATTACGGAGGTCAACTTCTTGATTAGGTTAAGAAGGAACTCTAGTTTGATAAGGGAGTGTCGAGAGCACTTTAAATTGAACATGTACAATCAATGGTTGAACTTGTGGCCATATGATGAAATGAGTGTCCTCTTGAAGTTGTAGTAAAAAATATTCCCAAGCTTGGAATTTTTTCTCATAGAATTGATATAAAAATAAAAAGCAGAAGGACAACCCAACCACAATCGTACCCATGGCATTGATGTCTCTTTCAAGATTGTAGTGAAGTTTTCCTCCAACCTGGAATTGATTCTCATGTACTTGAAATCCTAACGGGATAAGGTAGGACTACTTCACCACAATCGTGCTCTAGATGTTGACGTGAATGATCCTTCAAAATTTTAATTAAGGTTGCCCCTCTCATTGCAAAATGCTTCAAAAATCATCTTTTAGTGACTTTAAATTACTTTGACGAATATAAGAAGGGTGAGAAGAGTTATCGACAATCCTTCAACAACAAGGAGATGAGTATTATTAAAAAAATAAAGCAATGGTTGGGCATCTCGAACTTTGAGATTGTCTTGGAATGATGGATAT